TGATAGCTGTTAGGGTTCCAAGATATTTACATTTTTAATTTTTTTTCAAGATCATTGAACTTATGGTATTACCTTTTTTTTTTTTTTTTTGCTTATGCAAGCCATTATTTCAGGTAATCATTTTATTTTCCTGTCACTGCGCTTTATTTGTTGATAGTTGAAAGAATGCATGGCTCCATCTGGAAATGTAAAGGTCGCCTCTCTTTTTGAGTGGGCAAATAATGCACGCTCTGGTTTCTAAGCCAGTATCTTCAATCATTGGATTTTCTATGTTTCTTCAGGCAGATATTTCAAAGATGAAGAAATTTAGGGAAAAGCACTGAACAAAAAAGACAGAATGAACTCCTGAGGAAATTATTTTAGGATTGACTAAGTGTTTTTTTTTTAATGCACACATACAAATCAAAACCCTTTTTGAGGAAGTAGGGAGGAATCTGTATTGTATTGAGGAAACAAAGGAATCCAGTTTTCTTTATATTTAAATAGAGAAATACTGATGGACTCCTGCATACAAACTCCAAGTGCACCTATGTGAGGCATTTTAAAGTTAGTTTTAAGTGGTCTCATTTTAAGAAGTAAAAGTGGTTGTGGAAGGGAATAAAGCTTTCGTCATATAACTGAGTGGCTACTTTATCATGCAACTACAGTAAAAAAAAAAATACTATTTTTATAACTTTGCAAAATAACTGTAAAATGAAAGCACTAAATCTTATTGAAAACCTGTAAGGCTTGTGTGTTTCACAATTCAGATTTATTTGGATTTTAAAAAGATAATACAGAACGTATTTCCCCCTGTACGCTCCAATAAGGTCTGGGGCAGTGCCCTGTAGACAAAACATTAATGTATTTTTTAGCAAAATATATGAATAGTTATATCACATAGGCTAAACCTTTACCATAAATAGCCTTATATTAATTTAGGTCATATTTTGAGACCAAATGATTGTGCCACAAATTTAATAAGAAACTGAAGTTGCAGAGCCTTTTGGGGTTTTTTACATTGGAGTGTAAGAAATAATAGAGCTTAAGTACGTTCAGGTATGCTCTATGAACATCAAAAACCAATTAATGATTTTCTGGTTTTAAATGAGGAAAATTTGACTTAATATTTTATTCTACTTAATGATTTTTTTTTGTGACTATGTTTTGTTTTGTTTTGAGCTGCTTTATTAACTAGGTGGTTTAAGTGCAACTGCATTTTATCTAATTCCATAGTAGACTGAAGTATCACCCTAGCCCTGCATTATAATTGGACACTTTATATTGAATAATATATAAAACCAAAGATGAATGTGTACCAGTTTTCCATTTCAGTTTAAAGTATTAGTTTAGTCTTACAATTAATCTAATCAACACAATACTATTGCTTCACTCACTGTCATTAGTAAGTGAACTTACTTTCTACTTATATGATTAGAAAGTTCTGCTAATCATCTCTAGTTTGAATTATAATTCAATGGCAAGTAATACGTGTCTTAATACACCTTTCGTTTGTTATAATTTCATGCAGTAGTGTTAGTGTTATAAACACACGTGAAAAATAGCCACATTCAGGATCTTGTTACATCATGAAACTTACAGTTTTTAGAAGCCATGGGACCATACCACATTTGGAGAAGATAGAGGCTAAAAAAGACTTTGTGTTGTCACACACAATTTCCATGTTTAAAAGTTAATATGAGCAGTTAAGTTATGCCCACTTAATTTTAGAAAGAGAAATTATAAATATTGGAACGAAAACAAAGCAGAAGAATCAGCCAACATTGGCAACACTATAGAAATTAATTAAAATTTCCATCAAGCCAAGAACATATTATTTGTAAATGATGAGGCTTCAGTGCACTTTTGTACAAATATAATAAGAAAGAATCATACTTACTTGATTAGGCGCTGGGCTTTCCTAATTATAAATCTAAGATCAAAATAATCCCTTTCATAGGTAAAGATACTTGCATTCAAATACTGCATGTACCCTTTGTACAGTAATCTAGCTTCTTATGGAGAATCATATACTAATTGCTATAGTTAATAGAATATTATTCAAAGTAAGTGTAGTTGTAATTTACACAATTTTAGTAAAATCTGCTAATGCCTTACTATGTTACTGTGAAAAAGAAAATGCTACTTCCAGATGTGCTGTAAGAAATTTCCACTAACTGGCTTAAATTACTATACAAATTTATTATCTTACACTTCTGAAAGTGTAAACATTTCCCATTAAGTTACTCAGGAACTAAGAATAACATTGTATAGACCCATATAATGGTAGAAGAGAAATAGCAATGACTTCTTTTTTTTTTTTTTTGATTTATTTATTTATTCATACAGAACTGGAGTACAGGCCAGAGATACAGAAGGTGAGAGGATTCACCAGAGACAGTGGGGAGCAGAACAAGTGGATTTAAGGAGATAAACTACTGAGGAGAGCAGTGGTAAGACAAGAGAGGTCTGCTGCACCATGTGGTTAGTT